TCCATTGCTTGCAAAGCACCCGCTACGTTAGAAATCAATTAGTTATAATTAAACGCGACAAAATCTTTAAAATTATTTTAATTAATATGTAGTATTTGCGTAAATATAAGAAATCATTATACTCCATAAATACTTGAAATAAGAGGAAGGCTGTGCAGAGCAGAATTACAAAGGCCATAAAGTAATTTGTGTAACACACGCATAAACCATTAGAAACCGGGTCAAATTATCTTACCATAAATTCTAGTACCGGCTCAATCTAGTGGTTGTTTTACAAGTATACTTAGTTTACAGTACCATTTTGAAACTTTACAGCCTTCTTTTCCAAGTGTTGTTCGTTACCTTATCTGTGTAGACGTCTCATTGTTAAATAATCTCACTCAATCTTTATAAATGACAATTTTGTAATTAAAATGAATCTACTAAAGACATCCCATTTTAGTTTTCGATGATAATTTAAATGTATTTAAAAAGGTTCTAGTACTTTGCAAATTAAACAGAAGTTGATTTAGTCATTTGCTGTTTAATTCTTGAAATTGACAAATTCTTTATGTCATGGAGAAGTTCGAGAAGAAGAAGAATAGAGAATTGACGACACTTTTGCACTTGCAAGTAGCTCCGACGAGGTTTAAAATTCACTGTACTATAGCTGTCAACATCTTCGTCTAAAATTAAAATAACGTAAGCATTCGTAAGTAAAATATACAGTGTGTTTATTTATGATACTTGGTTTATACACGTTTTTGGTCCCAAATAATGAAGGAGATAAAAACAAATATTTTTATAGTCGCGCTTTATCAAATGAACATCTGATTGTTATAAGCAATATCATTTTGATAATGACATGACGTCAAATTGGTTTCGAGTGAGATTGAGAATTGCAAGTAGAATTTAATGGTAGGCGTGTAACAGCTTTAACATAAATACAGCCAATTGTTTTGAGTTTCTAGGATTTGAGTTTCTAGTACTAGATGTTAGAACTCCTTTTTTGTAGTAGTCCATCTGTTTAGGTACCAGCCTCTAACATATTTCTGCCACCAAATAGCAGTACTTGCTATGTTGTGTTCCGATCCGAAGGGGACATAGAGATAGAACAATATCAGGCCGTGAGGCATTCCATCTTAGACCTCAGAGGTGACAAAGAATCTGAATCTGTAACCTTCTTTGTTTGAAGTTGTCTGCATGTGTCCATGAACTCCTCCTGGACTAGTTTCCACTTGTCGTGGCGGAAAGCTTAGTAGCCGTGATTTGGTTACCTACGGGAAACTTTCCACATGGGATGGGGAGGATTCCACATGGCTGACATTACTAGTCCTTGCCCCCGCGAAGGTATCCAGGAACTGCAGTAATCACTTATTATCAAGCAACTCGCAGTAAATTATTATTAAAAGTAATAATTTAACTAATAATTATAAAAGATTAATAAAAAAGAGCTCCTGTCTCCTTAGTTTGAAGGCACTCGCCTTGCTGCCTCAGCTAGCATCAGAATTCTCGGCGTCGAAATTATTTTTTTTCTAAAAAGCTTGGCGTGCTTAGCAGAGCGAGACAGTATTTCACGCCGGCACATCGCTTGCAACTTTACAAAGCGCAAGTTTAGCCTCACACGGAATACTGTTCTCAGCTCTGGGCCGGGACACCCCACTGCCAGCTCCTTCCAATTGACCGCATCTAGCGCACAGCGATTCAAATCGTCGGCAACCGAATTCTTTCTGATCGGCTCTATTCACTGGCGATGCGTAGGGATGTTGCATTCCTTTGCGTTTTCTATCGTATCTACCATGGGGGTAGTGATGTGAGGAATTGTTTGGATTGGCTGTGGACATTGGCCGCATGCGCGTTTGCCCCCTCTTCTATTAAAAAAAAATGTTGTGAAAAATTACAATTTATTTAAAAACTATAAATAAATAATATATATTGTAGAATAATGTTTATTAAATATATATTTTATTACATAATACTTATTGAAAGTATTTTTTTATTTACTACGCGTTCGAAAAATATCATGTATAATTACAACACGTGCGACTTAACTACGGACTTGGCTGGAATACGACTCCTCTCCCACATACCCCACGGCACCCCGCGCTCGCTTTTGTGTGTTCAATACCGATAGCATACCGTAAAACGAGGTGGATAGGCACGATTCGTAATTTTGAATTTGATTATCATTAATTATTTTTATGCCGGAATAAACGATTAAAACAAATAATAATTTTATTTGTTTCAATCATGCATTTAGAAGTAAATTGACAAAATGTAAAGTTTTCTATTCACCTGGGATATTGGGTGAAAAGAAACGCCAGAGGGGTGAATAGAAAAATTTACTAGGGTTGTTACAAACATGATTCCTTTGAATAATCACATTTAATCAGTGGGTACCTACTTAAACTATTTTCTAGATATAAGTAGATAGGTATGAATTGAACGCTATCATTACATTAGGATATTTTTACAGTTACTGAATATGAATACTTCATGGCAGAATAGTCCTAAATAGGTATATATAAAAAATTACATAGGTAGGTATGTTTTATTAAATTAAAAATATTAATCACAGACAGTTTCATTTAGGCACATTGAAACACTTAAACATTATTATTTCTTAGCATAACAAAACTATAGATAAAAGATATTATGTATTGTAATTAGGCACTTTAAAAAGTGCGCAGCGACGGTATGTAAGTGACACACTGTTTTTTAATGTGTTAGATGAAAATAAAATGTGTGAGTCACTTACTCATCAAACAAATGTCATTTAATTGATAAAAAAATCTAATTAGGTGAGTTTTCATTTACAATTAAGGACTCTCTTATGAAAATTGAACACATAAAATATAAGTATGTAATTTAGTATTATTTTAGGCATATGTATATAACTAAGTAAAAGAAGTAGTTGAAAGAAAAAAGCAAGAAAGAACAGATAAGAATGATAGAAAAATATCGGATAATTTCCAGGCAAATATTAAAATGTTCTGGAAATTTGTAAGAACTGCCAGGGGACATTCGAAACAGCCTATGATGAATGCTATAAGAGACGAGAATGGCTATATTCTGAATGATGAAGTTTTGAGTTTAAAGAGATGGAAGGAATACTTTGAAAGCGTGTTTATGAGTGAGGAGACAACGTTTGTACTAAGTGAAGTAGAAATTCCGAAAGAAGAGTAAAGAGGTAGCGAGATAAGTATAGGTGAAATAATGAAAGCAATGAAAAGCATGAAAGCAGGTAAGGCTACCGAATATGATAGAGTTTCACTCGAAATGCTAAGGGCTGGAGAGGAAGTGGTGGCAGGCCTGCTGCATACCTTGTTTAATTTATGCTGGGAACTGAAACGGGTACCGGTAGACTGGTGCAAAGCCGTGATAGTCCCAGTATATAAGGGAAAAGGGTCGCAGCAGGACTGTAAAAACTACCGTGGCATCAGCCTTCTTAGCATTGTGGGAAAACTGTATGCTAAGGTACTGATTGAAACGGTCATGAAAGAAACTAATGGAAAAATTTGGGATGTGCAAGCGGGATTTAGAAAGGGAATGGGATGTACAAATCAAGTCTTTTCCATGCGCATGATCGCGGAGAAGTTTATGGCCAAAAACCAAAAGGTTTTTTGTGCGTTCATGGACTTGGAAAAGGCCTATGACAGAGTGAATAGGGATGTGCTAAGGCAAACACTGAAGTCATTTGGGTTGGGCGCTGGCTTGATACAGGCATTGGAGTCCCTTTATAGGGACTCTAGTGCTTGTGTTAGGATCAACGTGGTCTACTCGGATTGGTTTGACATCCATAAAGGTGTCAGACAGGGCTGTGTGGCTTCCCCGTGGCTGTTCAACCTATTTATGGACAGTTGTTTGCAAAATTTGAAAGTTGAAGAATGCGGATTAAGAATGCGTGAGTTAACCGTCAAATGACTTTTGTACGCCGATGATCAAGTTATTCTTACGTCGTTGGTAGTCGAGCTCCAAATGATGGTTACATTAATGAACAGATCATTAAAAGAAAGGGGTATGAAAGTGAACGCAAGTAAGACGAAGGTTATGGTTTTTGAAAGAGTAGAAAGTAAAACGATTTGTGAAATAAGAATAGAAGGGGAGTTAATCGAGCAAGTAGATGAGTTTGTATATTTGGGCTGCGTATTTAGCAGGGATGGGAGATATGATAAAGATATAGAACGACGAGTTAATGCGGGAAATAGAGTAAATGGGGCCCTGCACTCTATTGTGAAGAGTCAAAATGTGCCGAAAAAGGCACGTATGGCAATTCACAATGCTGTGTTGGTCCCTACTTTAACGTATGGTAGTGAAAGTTGTGTGTGGCAGAAGAAGCACGTGAGTAGAATGAACGCAGTAGAAATGCGGTCGTTAAGGAGTATGTTAGGGCTGAATCTTAATGACAGGGTAAGAAATTGTGTAATATGAGAAGAGTGTGGTTTGCAAGATGATGTTGTGACCAGGATTAAGAAAGGAATGCTTCGGTGGTTTGGTCATGTGGAAAGAATGAATGAGTAAAGAGTGACAAAGAAAATTTATGTTGCAGAAGTGAATGGCAGAGTCGGAAAGGGACGTCCTAGGCGAAATTTTATCGACCAAATTGGCGATTTATTGAAAACGGGCCAAATTAGGAGTACCCTTAACCGACGGCCATGTATGCGGAGGTGTATGGATGTGAAGGAGGCGAGAGAGGTGTGTCAGGATCGTGCCAAATGGAAGTCTTTAGTCTCTGCCTACCCCTCTGGGTGACAGGCGTGAGTGTTTATGTTATGTTTATGTTATGTATATAACTTTGTTGCTATAATATAGACTCTATATTATAGTAACAAAGTTATATGCCTATATATATATATATATATATATATATATATATATATATATATATATATATATATCCTCTATATTATAGAGATACAAGTATTTTTGTAATTGGTAACTTTGAAATCTTACGAACTATGCTACTGAATGAAAATATTTTTTTTCTGATTGACATCAAAAATAGTATGTCTTAGTTTAAGTCATTGCATGTTCTCATCCATCAAATCTTTAAGAATATCGTTCTCATTTTTGTAATAAGACGTTCTTCTTGAGGGAATAGATTTTATACCACTTGTACTAGGTTTCGCTTCATCATCAATAACATGTTTTTGTTTTGTAATATAAAAACTTTTCGATATGTTTTTACATTTATTGACATGTATTTCCTTAGAAAAGGTTTTAATAGAAATAAAGTTAATTTTTTTGTTTTGTTTCTCTTCTTTTTCAATATTTCCAATTGTAATATCTGCTAAGACTTGTGAGCTTGTATTCAAATGTCCAAATCTCTCCTTATTATCTTCATCACACATTGGTAATCCCAGAGAGTATTCATTTTCTATTTCAAATTCATCATCATAAACGATTGGCATTGATTTTATATCATAATTTTCACAGTCTAACGTGATATTTTCATATATTTTTCATTTTCTTCATTATTTCCCGTCTCTTCAGTATTTTTTTTTTCATTTTGATCAATTACATTCTCTTTAGCATTATTTTCATTTTGTTTATTGGACTTTTTCCTTTTCCCTTTCCTTTTTTAGATATCTCAGTACCTTTACTAGCCTCTTTCCGTTTTTTATTTTTAAAATCTCCGTCTTCAGAATCAACATAATCTTTAAGCGTCTCTTCAGTATTTTTTTCATTTTGATCGATTACATTCTCTTTAGCATTATTTTCATTTTGTTTATTGGTTTTTTCCTTTTCCCTTTCCTTTTTTAGAGATTTCAGTACCTATATTAGCCTCTTTCCGTTTTTTGTTTTTTACATCTCCGTCTTCAGAATCCACATAATCTTCAGTTTCATCATAATCCCTAGAATTTTTACCTTCAGTTCCATCTCCAACACTTCTCCCAGCAATCAAATTTAACTTCCTTTTCCTTGTAGATTGCTTCACGGTTGTGGTTCCATAGCGTAGCTCCTTAAGAAAGTCCAAAATTGATTTTTCCACTTCTTATTCACAATCTTCAACTGGCAATCTGTTTAACACCCGGTTTTGATCGATAGGATTAATTCCTGTTTTTCGGAAACCAGCCAATATATTGTTTTTTGCATTTTTATGTAATTCTTCCATAAGCTTTTTTAAAAGTTTTGGGAAACATCCCTTTGGAACACAAGATTCTTTTTTACCATCTTGTTTCTTCCATTCTAGAAGAATATTACGCCATGTAATTTTCATTGGCCTAAAGTAAGCCACATCTAAGGACTGGGTTAAATGATTGCTATTAGATGGTAAAAACACGAAACATATATTATCCTCTTGGCACATTTGTATTAAGTCGATCGATAGATGTGAGGACAGATTATCCCCGATCAAACATTTTTTTCCTTCTTTTCCCCTGAAATACGGCAGAATAATAGTTTTGACCCAGTCTTCAAAAATGTTGGCGTCGAGCCACCCACTTTGAGAACGATTGTACCGGGTACCAGGTGGCCCATTTTCAGTCCAGGTGTCGTAAAGGTTTTGGGCCTTGTAAGCCACTTATGGGGGGCAGTATGTCTCCAGCAGCTGACATCATGATGGACACAGAAGCTTTCGAGTGGTTCATGACTCTTTCTGGGTATTTCGTTCCGCGTTTGGTTAATATTTTTTTCGGCCTGGGTCATCACAAAAGTTTGTCTCATCGTAGTTTATTAAATTTATAGGCTCAATACCAGACAGAGAGGTTTCTAATTCTTTGAAATAATCTTTGATAGACTCGGGAGATACTTCTGCCCTGTTTCTTTTAATATTTTGGCAATTTCTCTGTGTGATTTCATTTTTATGACGCTTAAGAAAATTTGCTAAAAAGTCAGGACCGGGTAAATTGTCTTTAAATTTTAAAACAGTACTTCCTATTATTATAGGTAAATTTAATAAAATATCTAAAATCCAAAGAATCAAAAGAATCAGCACAGATATTGATATATTTGATCATGTGTTTCTCCAAGTCCAATGAAAAAACTGTCTGCCCCCCTCCCCCCTGTTTTTTCATAGTTTTAGTGCAGTATGTATAAGATAGATTTATTAATGCAATATTTATCAGCGACTGTTTTTAATGACACTGTTGTTTTATTTTTTGTTCTTTGGTATTCATGAATAGCTGCGTTGAGCACCTCCTCATCATATTTTTGTATCGTCTGCCTCTAGGGTCAGGTTTATATTGTCGCGGCATGTTACCTACAAAAAAATAAATTTCAGTAAACAATCCACATATATAAAAATACCCCTACGATAATCCTTAATCTTGCTCTGTATTCATCATAATCCCTATCCCTTGACATGACATGTGTATGAAAAATTTCATCATGATAGGTTGAGTAGTTAAAGCATGAAGGCGTAACAAACTACAAACAATCAAGCAAATTCACTTTCGAATTTATAATATGAGAAAGAAAATTATTTTTCCTTCCAATTTATAACAAATCAAATTATTATTATTTGTTTTCTTGTTATTCACTCTTTAAATCAAAAACAGATGAAAATAATATCAAAAACTTTAGTACAAGCGACAACCCTAACAGCATTTTATCTAACAACCCCCTTCGTATTTCTATTCTATCCTTCCCGTATCTAATGACCCCTCATGACGTGTCTATTCTCCCCTTAAGAGTGTCTATTAACCTCTAAACCATTAAAAACGGCAAGTTTCACATTTTGCATTATTATAACTTAAATAATTAGGCAGCACTTACTATTACTTGTCAAAAATAATGGGCACTCACTAACCTTTCAAAATATACTAAATTCGTTTAAGTAACTGTACTTTAACTAATTAAAAAACACCAAGTTTTGCGAGCCTAACTTTGCAGCGAATTACACAGTCACCTTTATGACGTTATTTTTTTCTGTGTCTTACTCCATAGACAATCAAGTGTTGCCATTTTATTAAAAATATAACGGAGTAGAAAAAAAACGAACGCATATGTTCTTTAAGCTAATATCACTCGGATAATTTGGGTTGTAAAACTTTTTTGCTTTTGTGTCTAATCACTCCGTGAATTCTATTAACCCCGTTTTACGGTACTTGCTATCGTTGCACGCTTCTCTGTTTTGAATCATTCGATAATATTTCTGTAGAATTATTTTTTGTCGAATTTTCAGTTAAAATTGTAATTGTATATCTTAGGAAGAACCAGCAAGAAATCCAGCGGGATTATATTTCTTTTTAGTAATTCTGAGGAGCATAGTAACTGGCATTACAAGCTGATGTTTGTACACTTGGCTAAAAGTACGAGTATGAACATTTTTATTCTTATTTAAGCTATTTATATGATGCTAACGTTAATATTTCTGACATTAGATTTGCTAACTTAAAATTTTCTCTGAGCGAGTCTTTATTATTGTAGTTACAAATTTCCCGTATGGCCTTCTTTTACAAATAAATATGGTTTCAATTGCTATTTCATTACCACATTGCAAAATTACTGTTTCAATATTGGTGATACTTCTAATCTTTCTTACAGCGTATGCTGCAGAACTAAATCTGCTTAGTAAATAAGATAAATAAGCTTACAACAGATTGTTTGGAAAATTCAAAAGGTGATGAAGAATTAGAAGACGATCGCGTTTCTCAGGCACCAGATGACCCATTCATTCATTTAAGTTTGATTCTGATTTCATTCCATCGGATTACTATACCGAATTTCAATAAAATACTGGGATTTTTTATCTGAAGACGACTTCAAATGCTTGTCATACTCAATGAAAGTGTGCAATATGAACTCAAACCACGGTTAGCCACAACTTTATGGGCATAGATGGAAAATTGTGAAAGAAGTAATTGGTAGATAGCCTATCGTCTACACAATCACACAACCAATATTCCATTAGTAGCTTCTTATGACATTCTGTACAAGTAGCACAGTTGACAATACCTTTTTCTTTTATGAGTTCCACATAACTTCAACAGTCCCAGTCTAACAAGAGATGTAAATCTGATATAAGTAAAAAAGAATCTAATTTAACTACCTTTCAGTCCTTTAGTAGTTTCTGATGCTCATACTTACAATGCCAATTGCCATTTGCTACTATCTTTAGGAAAAAAATATTGATAAGTAAATAAGTTGCATATTAATATAATAAATATTTTTTTAACTTTTATCGTTAGTTTGAAGTAAATCTCTGGGCTTAATTTTTTTACAGGATAAGGGCAACAAACGGACACATGTTTTTCCTGATGGTAAGTGGATGTTGCGGCCCATAGACATAGTCTACATCTTTCCTCGATTAAGAATCAAAATGCAGATACGTTGTTACCCCTGGAAGGACTAAGATAGAATACCTAATTTCCAACCCAAATATCGCAAAAAAATAAATGAATTTGACTACTAAGGGGTAATTAGGTTATGCCGTAAGAAATAGCATTCTCCTTTTTACTATAGTTATGGTTACCATCAATTGTTGTTTACTTGCACATAAATTTCCAACAGTTATTATTTAATGTAATGCCTAAATCTGTTTTATTACTAAAAATAGGCAAACATATACTTATACAGGCTGTTAGTGTAAACACTGTTATCCTTGAAACCAGTTTGGTTTGGTTTCACTTATAAAACGTAAATTCAATGAATTAAAAAAACCGCTATTTTCTTTCATAAAATTTAAAAAGTTCTGTCCGACACCGTCCGTAAATTCATGGATACCCTATGCGCCCGAGTGACGTAATCACTGTAAAGATCACATAACCTGTGAAGTAACTTTTATACTTATTATATTATTATTATATAATAAGTATAAAAGTTACATTATACTTTCATCAAAAAAAATTTGCTATTTTACTAAAAAATTTTGTTATTTTTCATTAAATTTACGTTCTATAAGTTAAACCAAACCACTGTTTTCAAGGATAACGGTGTTTACACTAACAGCCTGTATATACCTCATGTACGTGGTAAACATTTTTATAAAATTATTATATTTTATTATAATAGTTGCTAAATTATTTAAGCAGTGAAAGAAATTATGCTTTTACTCCCAGGTATAATATCAGTCTTTACATTTATATTTAAATATTATGTAAACTGTAAACTTTCTAGTTAAATATTTAAACAAAGCAAATCGGTACAATGGTTGCACAGGTATCCGTACAACTGGCGCAAAATCAGCACGGACAGGTGAACGAATAAAAGCATTTTTTAAATTTTAAGGGGATATAGTAAGTCAGCTCAAATTCTAATTTCGCCCCCACTTCCCCGCGCGTCGTATGCTATGTACCGACATGTTTGTAATCACTAATACTGTAAGTAGATAGGTCTTTAGATACCTATTTCATTAGGTTTATCATATTTATGCATGTTTCTTAACACCAACCCAGCCGCTTCTTATTTTTATCACGGTTATTTCCCATTTTAATTTTACGTCGTCCTTTTGCGTAATGTGTATTCTGATCGTAAGCGACACAACTTCCCCTTCAAAAGCCGAAGCGATACTAACCGGGCGGCAGGAATGAAGCTTCAAGACGCCGACAGTTTAGATAATTTCTTTTTACAGTGAAAATAATGGTATTTTAAAAAAGTAAATAACATAAACACTGCCTTATAGTTAGTTCAGTTAGTATGCAAAGTTTCATGATCTTATTTATGGTATTTGTGAATAACAGCGGTTTATTGTTCAGTTTGGAGGTAACTTTGGACTTTTTTTTTCTATCGAGAAAATTTTACGGAATCGTATTTTCGTCTAACATAGTCCTTAACATTAATCCTCAACTTTACCATATATTTATTTCAAAATTAATGCTGCAATATTTTCGGCATTACGGAGGATCTTTTTAAGCCATTTGAGGTTACATTTCCTCTTAACTAGTAATAAGCGGAAACGGGAAATTGCAATATATCAACGTAGATCTACAGATGTTTTTACTATTACTGTTACTTCGCTATTTAGTGTAGTTGCAGTAGAGTGAACACATAAAAATGTTAAATAAATAATATACATTTGTTGTTTAACTTTTTATA